GCCCGGCCGCGGCTCCGCGCCGCACAGCAGCAGCAGCGGCAGCAGCAGCAGGAGGCAGGCGGCGGCGCGGCCGTGGCGCGGCGCGCCGGGCATCGCCGCCTTGCCCAAGAGCCGCTTGCGCAAAGGCCCCGCGTGCCGCTCCTATCGACGCCGCCTCTGCTCTGAGCGCCGGTGCCCAGAGCGGGATTTATAGGAGCGGGACTTTGCCCGCCCTCGGCCCCCCCCACCGCCGTCCCCGTCCTGTCCCATCCCGTCCAGTCCGGGACACGCAGGAAAGCGGCTTGTGGGCGACGCCGGAGCAAACAGCCGGCAGGATCCGCGTGGGCGCCGAGGCGGAGGGGGTGCGGCGGATGGCCCGGGTGGGCTCCGGTGGGATTGGGGGGCAGCTGGGGGGGATGCTGGGTGTTTTGCACGGCAGCATCGTCCCCAAGTTGCCACCAAGGTGGGAGAAACTGGGATGCAGCCCCCGGTCCCTTCCCGTGGCACCACGTGGGGGACACATGGGGGACACATGGGGGACGCGTTGCAGCTGGTGGCACCAAGGGCACCTTGTGGCTCCGGTGCCAACGTTCCCCACGGCTCCTCCGGTGAGCGGCACCACCTGTGCGCCAGGATCACGCCTGGCTCCTGAAGTAACCACGGGGAAAGTTGCATCATTCCCGGGAGGCTGAAGACAGCCCAGGCGCTGGCCCCRCTCCAGCCCGGCCGGGGCCGCGGGAGCCTCCGGAGCAGCCGGGCGGACGCGGCCARGCGGGAGCTCACGGGGCTCCCTAGCGCGGAGCCGGACACCACGGCGGGGATGAACCGCGACTGCCGCAGCCTCCTCYGGGTCAAACGGGTTCATCCTCCTTCCTTTTCCTAGCACAGGGGCTGGAGCCTCCTCCCTGCCTCCCTCGGCGGGGCTGCAGGTTCCCTGAGACCGAGCATTGCGCCAGAGACCACATGGAGACCATTCCATGGGGATCCTGGCTGTTGGATGTAGGGAGAGGGAGCAGGTAGGAGCTAGACCCACTTCATGGGAGAGCTCCTGGATGTCCCCTTCCGTGCCAGAGCATCCCCACATCCCCTCCCAAGCTGCATCCACACATCTCTTCCTGGTCTGTATCCACACATCCCTTCCCAGCCTGCATCCATGCATCCATTCCCAGTACACATCTCTGCATCCTTTCCCCGGCTGCTTCCCCTGCACGGCGGAGCCAGGACCCACTCCAAGAGGCCAGGGACAAACACGGTGTCCGCACCCATCCCCGTACATACAGGGCCACCCCCCATGGGGACCTCAGTGCCGCCTGGCTCCGGGTGACACCCCCGCTCGCCCCGTCGGCCTCGTGTGCCCGCGCGGAGCRGGAAGAGGCCCGGGAGCCTCCGCGCGCTCCGGTTCGGCCATGCCTCTGCGCGGGTCCCGGCCCGGTGACGTGCGCCGCCGCTCGCGTGCACGGCATTACGCTCTGCCGAGGCCGGGTGCTTCCTTCCGAAAGGCGCCGGCCGACAACGCTGGAGATTTACGGTCCAGCAAGGGCAATAAAAYGTGTTTCGTCTTAATTGCGGTGTTTGTGAGCGATGGGCAGCCTCCTAGAAAACCTCCCGCTTCCTCAGCAGCCTGCAAGGTGCCTCATCCCGCAGGGGCTTCCACGCACTCCACACGTGTCCCAGCTTTCCTTTGGTCCCCGTTTTCCCAGTCGGACACTGTGTTGCATCCGACATCTCCACACTTCATCCCGGTGCGGAGCTGTTCCCTCTGCATTTAGGAGCAGCCGTTCCCGGGCGCATCCCTGGAGCAGCGCGGCGGCAGCCCAACCTTTGCCTCGCTCTGGATCACGGGACCGCGGGCGGCCCTGGAGGGACGGGAAGAGGAACCCGGGCACCAGCTACTTCCCCATGAGACGCAACCCCGACGCGGGGGGTTGCAGCAGGGCTTGGAGAGCTCCGGCTGCTGCAAGAGCTGCCGCCGCAGCCTAAACCTGCACAGAACCCCTTCATCTTTCCACATCCTGCATCTCCCCCACCAAAAACAGGGAAGTTCCCCCCTCCTGGATGTGGCTTCTTGCTGGWATTGAGCAAGCGGCTTCCCAACGGGTGCCTGGGGACAGCCCCCATGTGCAGAGCCCTGTGGGGAAGGGAAAGGGCAAATTACAGGGGAAAAAAGGCAGGGAATATTTCCACATGGCACATTCCTTTCCCAAAGTGTGGGGAAGGACACAGCACTGGCTTTCCCTGGATCTCCTCCCCTTCCACGCTTCCTCGGCCGGCGTTTTCCCAATGCCTCCTGCCACAGCGATGAATCCGCACGCTGAAATCTTCTTGCCCTTTAGACGTTTCTAAATAAAAGGCAAACAAGAGAAATCAGGTGAGCAGGAAAGGGCTTTTACCCCATTGCAGCAGGCATCGCATTGCTCTCCCTCTGTCGTAAGCCGACAGCATTCCCCAAAAATGAAGCATCTGTCCCGCTTGGGAAAGGCATTTCTGCCCTGACCTCACTCCTAGTCAAAGATTAACTTGCATTCCCAGSCTCCTTTGCCCAAATAGCGCCGGAAATTACCCAAATCCAGGCACCAAAAATAGCAGCGGCGCTTGTCACGCTCGCCGTGGCCGGGCCGGGAGAGCTCCGGCACGCGAGGCCGGCGGCGCGCG